CAGGGCCCCATTGAGGAAAGCCATGGTGACTGGCGATGCCCCAGAGTCTAAGAGTGTGAAGGTACGGGGGGCAGAGAGCTGGTCCCAGCAGCCCTCGGTCCCCAGGCCTGAATGGCTCCAGGTCTGGGGGCCCTGGAGGAAGGCCAGACCCAGGTCTCTGGCCAGGGTGACCACCAGGAGGCTGTCCACAGTGGTCGGGGACTTGGCTTTGGCACCTGGCGAGGAGGCTTGGACATCTGGAGAAGTGACTGGGACATCTGGAGAGCTAGACCTAACACCTGGAGAGGTGGGTTTGACATCTAGATCCGTGGCTCTATTATTTGGAGGCAGAGCTCCAACATCTGTAGAGGTGCCATCTGGGGAGGCATCCCTGAATCTTGGGGATGCGGCTCTTATATCCGGAACCACGGTTCCAGTGTCTGGAAAGGCAGCTTCAGTATCCAGAGGAGCGGCTGTGCTGTCCAAGGGCAGGCTGACAACTCTGTTCCCTTGTAGCCCTGCCTCCAGCCCTGCCAGAAGAGGCTCTACAGCTACTGTAGAGCCGTCGGGTGCCAGCACCACTCCGTATTCCTGCCTGCCCTGGATACCATGTTGGGCCACGTCCTTGGTCAGGTCCTGAAACTCTGGGCTCAGTTGCTGGGGATCCAGCCTGGTGTCCTTGATGTTCCACCGCTCCAGCAGGAAGCGATGGAGGACATCGTAGGGGCCAGAGTCCTGGGCAAACAGCAGCAATGCAGAAGCAGTGTGGCTGGCAATGGTGGCTGGTACCTTCTGCTCGAGCTCAGCCAGGGCCTGGATGACAGAGTCCATGAGCAGGGGCAGTGTGGCTGCAGGAGGAGGAACAACATTAGCCCAGTGACCCAGCACCTTCTGTTCCCCACCCCCTGCTGCTTCCACATTTTTCTCAGTGCCCCCAGCTCTTCATCGGACAACCCTGTGACTCCCACCACTGTCCTTGTGTAGATGAGGACACTGAGGCACAGATTACCGGTTAAGGAGCTTAGACGATCAGTGAGCACTGGGGAGCTATGGCAGGTCATGAGCAGGAGAGAGACATGGCCTGGCTGGTATTCTAATGTGAAGAACAGATTCGGGGGAAGCTAGAGTAGGGAAGGAGGGACAGTGTGGGGGTAAGTGATGAAGATGGCCGAAGCCAATGGGATGCACAAAAATGGGAAGAGTTCCCAGGTGTTTTGAGGAGGAAATGGGCAGTTTTTCTTGATGGATTGGAGTTTGGGAGATTTTAGAGGGGAAAGTATCCCTAAGGATGATGAGGGAGGAGAGAGTGGACAGGTGCCCAGTGATGGAAATGTCAGTGGCTGAACCCAGAACCCAAGAATACTGGCCTCAGAGCTGGGTGGGATGCTGGATGATAGCTAACATTTATTAAACATTTACTATGTGCCAAGCACCATTCTAGGTGAGTTATATAACTTAATCCGTCTAATCTTCACAATGACCCTAATGAGAACAGAGAGGCTGAATCATCTGCCTAGGGTCACACAGCTAGAAAGTGGCAGAGGCAGGATTTGAACCCAGGTAGCTTATTCCTTACACTGTCCAGAATCCAGGTTCTTCTCCAGATGGTCCACTCTATGACTCCTCTATAGCTTTGTTCTTCTCTTTGCCTAAAATGCCCTTTCCTGTTTCTCCATCAAGTAAACATTTTTTCCCTTCTTCCTGTCCTAAATCTATGTTTAAGGAATCTATGTTTGTGAAATAAACAAACTTTCTAAAGTTAGGAAACTTTGAGGAAACTCTACTGATTTTTGCTCTTCTGGCCCCAAGTCCTTCCCTCAGCTCCTGTCCTGACCCTACAGGGAGCATCTGGAGATTGGAGATTCCTTGAGATGGGGGCCTCCTGGGTCTCTAGCCTCACCCTGTACAGGGATGGACACAGAGGGAGCAGTAGTACACTCTTACAGATCTGGGTCCTGGCCCCGGGGTCTCTGCTTCCTGACCCACCTGTCCCTGGTTCCAGCCGCAGCAGCAATCCGAGCAGGATCCAGAGGATATCCTGGGCCACCATTGTGGGGTTCCAGATTCTGAGGGACAAATCCAGTTGACCTCAGCAGAGACCTTGGCAGAACTGGAAGGGAATGGGCATAGAGAACTGAGCGGAGCCTTTGGCCACTGTCAAAGTCCAGCGGTGAATGACACGGCTGCCGCTTGCGGAGTTGTGGGCGGGGGATAGTGGGAGCATGGTGACAGAGTGCCCTAGGTCAAGGTCATCTGAACCTCAGGGGCTCCCCCATCCTATTCTGTCCCTCCCAGGCTGAGGTCAAAGGTCAGGAGGCCAGGCCCATCCCAGGAGGGGCCTGGAGGCCAAGTAGTTTAGAGTCCAACAAACCCTGCACGTTCCCAAGAGAGGTAGACTGAGGCCAGTCCTGCAAACCTTACCCGCTTCCTGCAATTATTGTTCTGGAGCTGCAGCTGGCCAGCAGAGGGGACTCTTAGGTGCCTGCCAAACTGGTAAGACTGGCTGTGCTGGGGGAGGAGAGAGAAGGAGAGGCCTGGGGTTGGTACCGCCTCCTGCCTTCTTTTCTGTCAGCACCTCAGGCTCAGGCAGAGGATGGGTGCAGGGCCTGGAGATTGTCTGTTGAGGCCTGCTCTGAGCCCCTGGGATCAGGAGCTGTCACCTCTCACCAGTTCCAGGTCCTGGTCCCAAGCAACCAGAGGAAGCTAAAAGCAGGGATTGGGCCAGAGGATTCAGGACCCTGGCTTTGTCCTGGGAGCTGGCTTCTGGGCTCACCTGGGTTGACAGTGAGGGGTCCTCCTCTTTCCCCTGCAAAGCAGGTGTGTTAGTCCTGCAGAAATGAACCTGCCTCCCCTTTATTCCAGACTCAGGTGGGATGGGCTCCAAGTGGTTGGGGCTGTGGTGTGAATTGCTTCACTGTGGGCCTCCCACCCCGAAACCAGCTTTGGGAGTTTCCAGGAGACCCACCAGGCTGGGGACTCAGTATGGGGCGGGCCCTGGGCAGGCCTGGGAATGCCCAGGCTAAGCCAGGTCTGGGATTCCCCAGGGGGTAGGGGGTGGGGTGTTTTCAAAGCTATAGAGTGTCCTTTCTCTGGGGACCAAGCATCTACAGTGGGGACTCAGGAAGTAGGTGCTGGGGAGGGAGGGAACGGAGGCCACTCTCCAGGGGATTCCAAGGGAATCTCTGAATTCCAGTTTCCAAGGATTTGGGGACAGGGGAAGTGGGGAAGGGAGGTGGGCTCTGCCTGGACTATGTGTCCATCTGGTGGGAGGATGGAGTGAGGAAGGGAGGCATTTGCCTAGGGTTCAAAATTTAAGGTCGTGCTGAAAATCTTTGATCAAGTTATATTTTAATGCGATATTTCAAAAGACGAAAGTGAATGCAAAAAATCCACTATAAACAAAATATCAACTTTTTAGAGAAAGAGAGGATCGGAAACAGCCCTGTCCTGAGGCGTACTGGGGACAGAGGGAAAAGTTAACATCAGGAATTGTGATCCTGTCTTTGTGCCTTGAATGCTTTACCCTAGTGCCCCCAGAATGTGGGGGGGTGGCTGAGGAGATCCCCATCTAGTGTCCACCTGGACTCGGAATGACCTTGCCTTGGCATTATGGACCCCGGAAGTGTCCCTCTGCGGCTCCCACTGATTGCAGCCCCAGAGGACCCTTCTGGCTTTGTATCACCATCGATTTATGCTCATTTTACCCAGCAGGAAGATGAGCTCAGGGAGGTTAAGTAACTTGCTCAAGGACACATAGCTGAAACCTGGGGAGTGCTCCAAGGGCAAAATATGTTTCCACTATCCTGCGACTGGGTCAGGGTCAGGGTAATTCACACGTGGAAGTGTTTGCAGACTTTCACACCCAAGAACTCCTGGGTTAGTCATCCGGAGAGCCTTGATTCCATTTTGAACCTTGGAATTCGTGGCAGAGGCTGGGTAGATTTCAAGCCAGGGGTATGTCATGGCTGGCCAGCATTTCCCTTAGAGTCTGGGATTTGTGTCCTGGGGTGGACCCTTCCTGCAGGAAGCTTCCTGGATTACTCCTGGTTCTGCCCTTTACCCATCCTGGCTCTCTAGCCTGGGGAGCCTCGCTTTGACTCAGACCCATCCACGCAGGGCTAGGAGTTTCTATGTCCAGTTTTATCTCCCCAAACTGGGAGATGCTGATTCCTCTTAGGGTGCCCAGAAGTACCTGGCACAGGCCAGGGACCAGGTGGGTGTCAGGGAGGGATTGCTGAGTGCACAAAAGGCCTGATTGAGGATGTGGGGTCAATTGGGGATTAGGCTGTAAAACATGTGCACACACACACACACACACACACACACACGCACGCACGCACCCACACACCAAAGTGCCTGGTCTGGGCTGGGCCTGGGAGTTAGCAGAAAGGCTGGGATTCCCATGATGAATCACCAGTCCCCACCCCTGCTTCCCTTATACCTCATGAGGACCACCTGCCAGGGTAGGTCAAGGCCCCTCCAGGCTGCAGACAGACACTATACTCAAGAGAAAAGTCATTATCTGGGGCCTAGGCACAGCTCTAATGGAGGTAGCATTGACACAGACAGACAGACAGAGTCCTGGGCCCTGGATCCAAAGTGAAGGTGGGATCATGGACAGAGGCCAGAGGAAGAGGAACTTGAGGCAAGACTGGGCTTGGGGCCAACATCAGAGTTAATAATGTTCACTTTGGTAGCAGAAGCATAATCATGAAGACCCTGATAATAATAATTATTAATAATTAAAACTGCAGTGGGCGGGGCTTAAAGCCAAGATTTTATTTATATGTCTGTAGTTTTTTAGTCAGCTCTGGGTTTTGTTAAAGGATGTAGGGCAGGAGTCTGCAAATGACAGCCTATGGGCTGGCCGTCTGTTTTGTAGACGATGTATTTTTTTTGCTTTTGGGACTTTTTCAAGGTGAAATTCACCTAATATAAAAGGAACCACTTTAAAGTTTATAATTCTATGGCATTTAGTACATTCAGAATGTTGCGCAATCATCATCTCTCTCTTGTTCCAGAACATTTCTATCACCATGAAATAAGACCCCGTACCCACTCGCAGTCACTGTCACTATCCCCCAGCTTCTGGGAACCACGGACCTGCTTTCTGCCTGTTCTGGACGTTTCACAAACGTAGGATCAGATACTATGTGAGTTTTGGTGTCTGGCTGTTTTTTTCACTCGAGATAATGTTTCTGAGGTTCATCTGGGTCATGGTGTGAATCAGCGCTTCTTATCATGAATCTTTCTTTTTTTATTTTATTTTACTTTATTTTATTTTTTTAAGATTTTATTTATTTATTTGACAGAGAGAGAGATCACAAGTAGGCAGAGAGGCAGGCAGAGAGAGAGAGGAGGAAGCAGGCCCCCCGCTGAGCAGAGAGCCCGATGCGGGGCTCAATCCCAGGACCCTGAGATCATGACCTGAGCCGAAGGCAGAGGCTTTAACCCACTGAGCCACCCAGGCGCCCCTCATTCTTTTTTTAAAAAATGATTTTATTTATTTATTTATTTGCCAGAGAGAAAGAGAGAGAGCACAAGCAGGAGATGTAGCAGGCAAAGAGAGAAGCAGGCTCCCAGCTGAGCAGGGAGCCCTGATGTTGGACTCGATTCCAGGACCCTGAGATCGTGACCTGAGCTGAGGGCAGACACTTAACCAACTGAGCCACCAAGGCATCCCTGAGTCATTCTCTTTTTATGGCCGAATAATATTCCATTGTATGGATGTGCCACAATTTGTTTATATAAATAAACAAATTCATGTAAACAAATGATAGGAACACATCCTCCTCATTCATTTACATATTGTCTATGACTGTCCTCATGCTGTAATGGCAGAGTTGAATTTTAGTGGCAGAAACCATCTGGCCTACAAAACTGAAATATTTCCTACACGGCTTCCCCCTCCCCCAGCTTTATGGAGATATAATTGACACGTAACACTGTGTAAAGTTAAAGGTGTGCAACACGATGATTTAATACATGTAAATTGCAAAATGCTTACCACAATAAGGTTAGTTAACACATCCCATCACCTCACATAGTTATCTTTTTTTGTTTGTTTGTTTGTTTGTTTTTGTGGTGAGAACTTTTAAAATTTACTCTTAGCAACTTTCAAGTGTACAGCACAGTACTGTTAACTGGAATCACCATGCAGTACGTTAGATCCTCAGACCTTGTTTATCTTATATCTTGAAGTTCGTACCCTTTGACCAGCATCTGCCCATTTCCCCATCCTCAACGCCTGGTAGCTACTATTCTACTTCTTCTTCTATGAGGTCACTTTATTTGTTTTTTTAGATTCTACACATAAGTGAGATCACATAGTACTTGCCTTGTCTGGCTTATTTCCCTTAGGATAACCTCTTCACTGCCATTAGGTTGCAGGATTTCCTTCTTTTTTCTTATGGCTGAATAATACCCCATTGTATATATATATATATGCCACCTCTTAAAAAATCTGTGCATTCACTGAAGGACTCTCCGACCGTTTCCATGTCTTGGCAATTGTGAACCATGCTGCAGTGAATATGGGGGCGCAGATAGCTCTTTGCAGTGATGATTTCATTTCCGTCAGATATATGTGGACTTTTAATTTATTTTTAATTTAAAAAAATTTTTAAAAAAGATTTTATTTATTTATTTGACAGACAGAGATCACAAGCAGGCAGAGAGGCAGGCAGAGAGAGAGGAAGGGAAGCAGGCTCCCCACTGAGCAGAGAGCCCGATGCGGGGCTCCATCCCAGGACCCTGGGATCAGGACCCAACCGAAGGCAGAGGCTTTAACCCACTGAGCCACCCAGGTGCCCCTATATGTGGACTTTTAATAAAGTTTGCTGATTCCTCCTGAGCCAGTTAACCCAAGTTCAAATTCTCACTCGCTGTTTACTAGCTGGAGCAAGTGGTTTAATCTCTAAGTCTCATTTTGTCTATTTCTAAAGTGGGAGAATAGAACCAACCTCATAGGGTTATTTTGGGAGCTAAATGAGGTGGTCCTACGTGCTGAGGACCGTCCTTGCATGTGGAAAGCATGCAATGAGTAGAGTTGTTTCTGCCCCCACTCCCTCCACTGGCCCAGCCTCCCCAGCAGAGGTCCAGGGCACAGGATAATCCATGATGGTCTGAGTCCTTCTTCCTCTATGAGTCTGGACTCACAGGCATGAATTATTTCTGCATCTGGGGCACTTGTCCAAGCCAAGGCTTCCCTGCTGGCCTTGACCCCCACAGCAGCCAGCTGGGCTTTCAGCCAGTCTGGAACCACAGCCAGATCACTGAAGCCAGGCAGGCCAGCCCCAGAATTGGTCAAACCCAATTTGCCAAAGGGAAAGCAAAGTTGCTAGTGTGGGCCAACGACCCCACAGCCTCCAGCAGGGTAGATTCCGCCGTCCCTGGAGGGCAGAAGTTAAGTTCAGTCACATCTTAGAATAGAGGTGAGATTTAATCTCTCAACACCTGGCACTGAAACTGGAGAGGAGGGAGTTTTGTAACTGAGGACAGGACATATTATAGTGAAATCGTGAGTTCAGCCTTCGGCGCTATGCTAGAGGCCAAGAATGAGTGTGGGGTAAATGGGGCCAGATGTTGGTACACCCTGGGGAATATTTACTGAGAAACGATGGCTCCTAGCTGTTGTCATCCTGCTTCGAGAGAATGACACAGCGCAAAGGGCTTTAACCATTATTTTCGGAACAGAAAATTTCAAACATATTCAAAAATAGAGAGAATTATATAATGAATCCCCATAGGTACCCATCATTCAACTGACACGTGTCAACTCACGAGCCATCTTATTTCTTCCATAACTGCCACCCCCTGTCTCTCTTCTGTGACGTTCTCTGCCATTGGTGATCATCGCCTAGACCTGTTAACACATTAGCAGCTACAACAGAGTGATATTGGGATGATTTATTCTCTCTTCATTTATTAGCTGGAATTCATCTGGAGAGAGAAACATCTTCTCATCTACCACTTGGTTACCCAGTGGTACAATTCACATGGAAAGACAAGATAAATGCTTGATATCTTTCCTTCCCTCATTTTCAAAGTCATTGCTGGGCTCCTTAACATCCTCCAAAGGTAGATAATGAGATTTCCCTCTCCCCCCATATCTTTACAAAATCATGGACTTAAACTACTGAAATGTGTGAATACATTGAAGTTTTTTTTTTTTTTTATCATTACTGATAATCAAATTATTATCCCTCCTTTGGCCAGTGGGAGCCTCTTCACTTTGACTCCTGAGTTCTTTTGACATGACTCTTTTTTTATGATGTAACAAGAGATTTCAGGAATATCTTGTACATTTCCTGCCACAAACCTGAGAATCAACCATTTCCCCGGGAGCCCTTCTTCCTTTGACTGGAAAGTGGTACTTAGAGATAGGAATCAAAGTGCTAAAGGTGCTCATGGCTACTGGGTTAGTTGTTTCTAGGACTTTTCACTGGATAGAAGTAGGAAATCCCCTACCATTTTTTCTTTTTAATTTTTAAAGTATTTATTGATTTATTAAATTTTTTGAGAAAGTTAGAGAGGGTGTGGGTGTGAGTGGGTGGGGGGTGGTGGAGGGGCAGAGTGAGAGAGAGAGAAAGAATGAGGAGAGAAAATCCCAAGCAGGCTCCATGCCTGGCGTGGAGCCTGACTGGGGGCTCGATCTCACGACCATGAGATCATGATCTGAGCCAAAATTGTGAATTGGATGCTTAATCCTGAGCCACACAGGTGCCCCTGTTTTTTCCTTGTCCAGGCTGAACAATATTCTGTTGTACAGATAGACCATATTTTGTTTATCCATTCATTCGCTGATGGACATTTGGGTTGTTTCCACTTTGGGCTATTGTGAGTAGTGCTGCTGTGAACGTGAGTGTACAAATATCTGTTTGAGTTGAGTTCCCACTTTCATTTCTTTTGGGTATATACCCAGAAGTGGAATTGCTGGATGATGTGGTAATTGTATGTTTAATTTTTTTAAGAACCTGCCAAACTGTTTTCCACAGCGGCTGCCCCATTTTACGTTCCCACCAGTGGTTCACAAGAGTTCCAATTTCTCTACACTTTTGCTGACATTTGTTATTTTCTTTTTTATAATAGCCATCCGAATGGGTGTGAAGTGAAGGGATTATTTTTTAAGTCTAATATTGCCTTAGAATTATGTGAGATATTTGCATAGTTCTAAAGTCAAATCTGCAAAACAAGATATATAGAGAAACATCTAGCTTCTACTCATTTACCTTTCATCATGTTCTTTCCCTCCTCCTCATGTAATCATTTATAATTTTTTCATGATCTATGGTTCCATTTTATTTATTATTTTTTTAAAGATTTTATTTATTTATTTGACAGACAGAGATCACAAGTAGGCAGAGAGGCAGGCAGAGAGAGGGGAAGCGAAGCAGGCTCCCTGCTGAGCAGAGAGCCCAATTTGGGGCTCGATCCCAGGACCCTAAGATCATGACCTGAGCTTTAACCCACTGAGCCACCCAAACACCCTTATTGTTCCATTTTAAAAACACTATATATATCTATATTACTGTCACTAGTATATATAATATATATTTCTTTCCACTTAACACTGTTTCCTGGAGATCTCTTCATGCCAGAATAAAGAGATAATCCTTATTCCTTTTTACAGCTTTGTAGGATCCCAACATGTGGCTGTGACTTGGTTTATTCAACCATACCCTATTGATGGGCTTAAGGGCTATTTCCAGTCTTCTGATATAGTTTTTAAAAAGATTTTATTTATGTATTTATTTGAAAGATAGAGTGAGTGAGAGAGAGAGAGCATGAGCAGGGGGAGGGGGAGAAGCAGATTGCCCTGCTGAGCAGGGAGCCCAACGCGGGCGTCGATCCCAGGACCCTGAGATCCTGATCTGAGCCAAAGGCAGGTGTTTAACCACCTGAGCCACCCAGGTACTCCAGCATTTTGATATTTTTGATATTTTGATATTTTCTTTTTTTTTTAAAGATTTTTTTACAATTTATTTATTTGACAGACAGAGATCACAAGTAGGCAGAGAAGCAGGCAGAGAGAGAGGAGGAAGCAGGCTCCCTGCTGAGCAGAGAGCCTGATGTGGGGCTTGATCCCAGGACCCTGGGATCGTGACCTGAGCCGAAGGCAGAGGCTTAACCCACTCAGTCACCCAGGCGCCCCTATATTTTGATATTTTCAATAGTGCTGTTGTGAAAAGCCATGTTCATTTATCTTTTTCTTAGTTTTGCAAGGGAGTTTTGGGATATATTCCCCTAAGTGGATAAATGAGCATACAATTTTGCCAGAGATTACCAATCTCTCCTCCCCAGGGCTTATATCTCTTTGCTTTCCCACTAGTAAAACTTTTTCATTTGATCTGGTGGACTCCTATACATTCTTCAAGACCTATCTCCAATATCCTGGTTTCCAGGAGGACTTCCCTTCTCCTCTGGCTCTCTCCTCTTGGCTTTTCCAGCTCTGGGCTCCTTTCTTTGGCTGAGCCCTGATACTGAGCTGTTGGGAGTGTCTGTGTCCAACAATGTACTCTCCAGACTGGGAGCTTCTAGAGGGCTGGCTCCAGGATTGAGTCTTCTTAGAGCATTCGGCATGTGACTGGGCATAGAGAGGTGATAATAACAGGTTTTCTCTCTGAACAAAGGACAGCTCCTTGGCCCTGGGCCTCCTTGCTGTCTCCTCCTGGGCCAGGAAAAAAGAATCAGGTCAAGCTGGCCAATATCCTGGGTTCTGCTGTCTGCCCTCCGGCTGGGTCACCTGTACTCAAGGATAGTAAACTCAGTGTGGGTGTCTGTCACCTGCATGGCTCCCAGGCAGAGGAGTGGGACCTGCTTGAGGTCAGGGAGACCCCAGGACCCATTCAGTCTTCCCCAAGGTCAGGGAGACCCCACGACCCATTCAGTCTTCCCCACTCCCTAGGTAGAGCACCTCCCCTCTCTGTGCCTTGATTTCTCTAACTCTAAAACAGCAATAATAATGTGCTTATCTCATGGCCTTAGCAAAGGAATCAGTGATATAAAATTGTATCAACCCGCTTCCCACTATTTATTTATTTACCATGTATTTATTATTGTGGTGAAATTCATGTAATGTAAAATCATCATTTTAAAGAGAATAGTTCTGGGGCATTTAGTACATTTACAGTGTTGTGCAACCATCACCTCTATCTGGTTCCAGAACATTTTCATCACCCCCGACGGAAACTCTGTACGGATTATGTAATCACTTCCCATTTCCCCTCCCCTCAGCCCCTGCCAACCACCGCTCTGCTTTTTGTCTCTAAGAATGACCTATTCTGGACATTCCATATAAAAGGGATCATACATTATGTGACTTTGGTGACTGGCTTCTTTCATTCAGTGTAATGTTTCTGAGGTTCACCTTCGTGGTGTGTGTCAGGGCTCTGATCCTTTTTACAGCTGAATGACATGCCATTGTGTGTACATAGGACATTTTGCTTACCTGTTCATAATTTCATTGACATTTGGGGTGTTTCCACTTTTGGTTTTTGTGAAGAGTGCTGCTGTGAATATGTGTGTACTTGTACTTGTTTGAATATTGTTTTCAATTCTTTGGGGTCTCTACCTAGGAGTGGGATTGCTGGGTCATATGGTACCTCTATGTTTAACTTAATTTTTTAAAAGACTTATTTATTTATTTATTTGACAAATAGAGAGATCACAAGCAGGCAGAGCAGCAGGCAGAGAGAGAGGAGGAAGCAGGCCCCCTGCTGAGCAGAGAGCCTGATGCGGGACTCCATCCCAGGACTCTGGGATCATGACCTAAGCCGAAGGCAGAGGCTTAACCCACTGAGCCACCCAGCCGCTCCTATGTTTAACTTTTTGAGGGACCATCAAATACTTTCTATCTCTGTTGCCTCACAAAGCCAGTGAAGAGAGAATTCAAAGTGAAGAATTCTAAGTCCCCATTTGGCAGCCAAGGAAACTGAGGTTGGGAGAGGTGGCCCCACACCATCCTGAGGCTAATGGCCATCAGATTATTCCCTGTCTGCTTAGTGACCACTGAGTGCTGGACACTTGCTAAGGAAGGGCTTAGGATTGGGCCCCTCATAGTCTTTGCATCTCTGAACTCTGACAGATCGGGGTTTACCTCCCAACTTGGGCAAGTTGCTTCCTTCCTCTGAGCCTCCACCTCTCTACCTATAAATGATCTTAATCCAAGTCCTTCCTTTATTGTGGAGACTCAACATGATACTGTAGGCAGAGGAAGGTGCCTATATTATGCCTTTGATTTATGAAGGCTCGAACAAACAAGAACGTGGTCGACTGAGGCTTGGGGGTGTGAAGTAACTTGCCAAAAGTCACACAGTGGTTGGTGACTGGCTCCACCCTACAAGCATTTTTTTTTTAAAGATTTTATTTATTTATTTGTCAGAGAGAGTGAGCACAGGCAGACAGAGCGGCAGGCAGAGGCAGAGGGAGAAGCAGGCTCCCCACCGAGCAAGGAGCCCGATGCGGAACTCGATCCCAGGACACCGGGATCATGACCTGAGCCGAAGGCAGCCGCTCAACCAACTGAGCCACCCAGGCGTCCCACAAGCATTTTTTTTTTTAAAGATTTTATTTATTTATTTGACAGACAGAGATCACAAGTAGGCAGAGAGGCAGGCAGAGAGAGGGAGAAGCAGGCTCCCTGCTGAGCAGAGAGCCCGATGCGGGACTCGATCCCAGGACCCTGAGATCATGACCTGAGCCGAAGGCAGAGGCTTAACCCACTGAGCCACCCAGGCGCCCCCCTACAAGCATTTTTGAGAAATTTTCTGAAGCTTAATCTTTCTGGAAGCTAGCGAGGAGAAATTTCTAAGGGAGGTCCTCTGGGGTGGGGGGCAATTTGCTGCTAGGTTGCTTTGCTGTTTGGGGAGCTGAACTTTGATAACACAGAATCTTGCTGAATCAGCCTGGGGTAGCCTGTGGTCATGAACCACAACTGGTTCCCTGGTGGAGGTCACCTTTGCCCCAACCCACTCACTCCTCCTTTCTGGTCTATAGTTTATATCAGCACAGCAGGAGGCAGGGTGACTTCCGGTGCCCCAAACAGGCACAGGCCAGGCACTTTCCTTGCTTCCAGGCATCGTCTCCTACTGGTCCCTCTGTTGTGGGGCACCCTTCTCCCTTCCCTCTCCTTTCTGCGGTGCATACACTAGAACTTTCAGACTCTGGCTTCTACCAGCCCTTCTAATCTCCTCTCCTCATGGGTTCCTCAGTCCAGCCCACTGGCCTCTTTCTTCTTGACGATGCGACCTTCATTCCACCTTACGGCCTTTGTACTTGCTGCTCACTTTGCTTGGAATGTTCCAGTTCATGTCTTCCTATCATTCAGGGATCACTCATTACTTCCTCCTAGAAGCCTAGCCCTGACCACCCTGCGTAAACTAGGTTCCCAGTCCCTCCTTGTGAGCTCATTCTATTTACCAAGACCCTTACCTGACAGTATCTTAGTCATTTGTTTATTTATCTTATGTATGCATTTATTTATTTATTGTTGCCTCCCCCACTTGGAGGGAAACTCCATGGGAGCAGGGACTTGTCTTGCTCGGGGCTGCATCCCCAGGGCTGAGACCAGTGCCTGGCACATAGCATTCAGGTGTTCACAAAATGTCTGTCAACTGACTGACCGTTGGGCTTCTTCTTCTTCTTCTTCTTTTTTTTTTTTTAAGATTTTATTTATTTATTTGACAGAGATCACAAACAGAGAGAGAGAGAGGAGGAAGCAGGCTCCCTGCTGAGCAGAGAGCCGGGATGCGGGGCTCGATCCCAGGACCCTGAGATCATGACCTGAGCTGAAGGCAGAGGCTTAACCCACTGAGCCACCCAGGCGCCCTGGGCTTCTTAATAAACATGAATTTTCTTCCCCCTAAACTGGATCATGAGGTTAAATACCTTTTTATACTCAGCCTCCAAGTCCCGGGAGGCTCCTCCGATGGGCCCCAAGGGCTAAATTCCTGACTCTGTTCCTACCAGGCTGTGTGACTTTGGGCAAGCTACTGCCTATCTCTGGGACTCCAATTTTATTTTATTTTATTATTTATTTATTTGAGAGAGAGAGAGAGAGAGAGATTGAGAAAGATCACGAGAAAGGAGAATGTCAGAGGGAGAAGCAGACTCCCTGTGGAGCTGGGAGCACGATGCGGGACTCGATCCAGTGACTCTAGGATCATGACCTGAGCTGAAGGCAGTTGCTCAACCAACTGAGCCACCCAGGCAACACGGGACTCCAATTTTCCAAGAAAGTTCTTAACTCCCCCCATCCCCAATCTAGTGAAAGCTCTAGCTCCAAGTCTCTCCTGAAAAGATAAATGCACGATTTTGCACATGATTTTAAGGAATTTAATGATTCCACCAAGTCCAATGCTGGGCTTCCCCTGCAGCTGATCCATATTGAAACTGATTTGTTCATTGACGCGGTTGGTCAGCAGGTATTCAAATGACACCAGCATTTTGTGCCCACCCTCATGGTGGGAGATTCTGTGGCCCCCAAATTTCCAAGCTCTGGGCTCTGAGGGTCCCAGCAGCGGGGAGGTGCGGGTGGGGGGTGGGCGGAGGGGACAATTTCAGCTAGACTCTCTGCCCTACATGGTCGTGACTAGGTTAGCTAGAAGAGCCAGAGGGGTAGCTGGGGTACAGCTTGGGAAGGGGGCATAGACAAGTTCCTGGAAGAGGGATTGGGTTTTGAAGGATAAATGGGATGGTCTGGCAGGGAAGGGAGTTCCATCGTAGGAAACAGCTTTGGGGGATTTGAGGGAGGGAGGAGAAATAATAATACACATTTACACAACATATTTTTAGGAAGAGATCGCTTTCAGGTGGCAGCCTCAGGCCCACCCCAAGAGGGAAGGAAGATGATTTTACGGTTGAGAAGAAAGAGGCACAGAGATGCTAAGAGCTGTACTCCAGGCCATACAGCAGGTAAGTGGTGGACTCTGGTCTAGACCCCCCCCAGGCTTCTTCTAACGGGGCTTTCTTATTGGCTGACGGACAAAAGAGTTGTTTCTGATAGGGTGAGGTATGTGGGGAGGGCCGCGCCCGATTGGTGGAGGAAGGAGTAGTTCAGTGGGCCAGGGAGCACGAACGTGGAATTTAGTTGTCTGTGAAGCGGGAGAGGAGCGTCTGATTGACTGAAAGAAGGGAAGGCAGAGTCTGATTGGCCGAGGGCTAGAGAACATTTAATTGACTGAGGCGTAGGAAGGTGGATTCTAATTGGCTGAGGGGAAGTCGGACAGAGGTATCATTGATGCCAGCAGTACCTTTTAGCTTCCAATCCGCAAATCCCGCGTCCTTGGGCCCTGGTAGGGGGAGGTGGAGATTAATCCCCCACCAACTGGGGGGAAATGGAGACAGGTGCGTGTGGAGGAAGGGAGGGGCCTGGGTCGCTCCAGGCAGAGTCCAGGAAGGACACTTTCCTAGCCATACCTGGTGAGAAGTAATCTTGTTCGCATTCCCCTTCACGACCCCGCCCCCCCAGCATTGTCTTTGCCCCTCGGTGCTCCCTGCTCTCCCCAGCAGCAATCCCCAATTCTGGGAGCGTGCTGTCCATCTCTCTAGTTTTTGAAGACCAGGGCCTCTCCTCCTGCCGCCCGCCCCGAGGGGGTGTCCTGCACCCGCCTGGCTCCTTATTGCGACCATCTCCCCTTTTCCCTCTCTTCCCATTTGCCGTCTTTCTCTCCATCCCCCCCCCCCTTCTTCTCCCCAAGTTAGTCTCCATTTCTCCATCGAAAATGCCAGCCTAGATGTGGCCCAGGCCCAAACCCTTGGCGTCACCCCTGCCTTCCCTCCTCTCACACCCACATTCCGCCTGTCGGCAAGTCCCGTCACCTCTAAACAAACCCCCAATCCTAATACCTTTCACAGCGCGGTCCCTCCAGGGCGGCTCCTCCTCCGGCTCCTCCCGCCGCTCTGGCGCCCCCTTTCGTCGGCTCATCAGAGCCGGAGGGAACCGGGAAAATCCCAGTCAGGCCCCTGCGCAGTCAGCATCCTCCCCAGCTGGGAACCGTCTGTGGCGCCCATTCTCCAGAGGAAAACTCGAAGTGCCTCCTAGGGGCACAATCCGTCCGGTCACCTTCCAGCCCCTGTGTCCTCCTACTCTCTCCATCCCTCACTCGGCTCCGGTCTCACTGGGCTCTTGGCTGTTTCTTCAGGCACGGTCCAGCCTCTGGTCTCTGCTCAAAGAGCACCTCAGAGGTCTTCCTCATCCCCTTGCCTCCCTAGATTGTCCTCCACAGCGCACATCCCATAAAATAAGCTTTTTGCTTATGTGTTTCTAGTTATGCTTTATTGCATCTCCACTGTAGAACAACGTCTGGTACTTCCTGGGAGCTTGGTGTTTGCTGAATGAACATGTGATCTGTGCTCTCCGGGGCTGGGGAAAAAGGCAGGGAGTGAGCAAGAGGCTGTCTACATGCACAGAGCTCCCAGCTAAACACACCGTTCCAAGAGCGAGTTTGCTGTGACAGAGGATGCACAGGGCTGTGGCTGCATGGAGCGTGAGCTTGAACTGAGCTCAGAAGTTAGGGAAGCCCTCAGAGAACATGGCCTTTGAGCTGATACCTGAAGGAGAAGTAGGAGTTAGCAGAGCAGGGGAGAGGGAAGAGAATTCCAGGCGGAGGGAACAGCATGTGCAAAGGCTTTGAGGGGGAGAGAGATGGCCTTGAAGGGTTTGGCAAGATGGTTGCAAGTGGCAGTGAGCAAGAGTGTGGTGAGTGATGAGTTGGAAGGTGTTTGCTGCTCCATTCACACCACATCCCTGAACTGCTCTGGTCTTTGCTCCAAACCTTGAATTATCTCCTGCCTTGTCCCCACCCTTCTGCCCCCTATTTTGTGTCCTGGGAGGCTGACTTGAATGGACCACTCAACCTTTGCCTTATGGCTTCCAGTTGGGTTCAACCAATAGGGAGTCACAGCAGGCACTGGAGGGAGATAGGAGACTGAGGTCAGGGTATTAGTATCTCATCTCCTCCCTGTGTGGTCCATGCAGGCTGCCTGTGCCCCTCAACCAACAGCTTTTGCCAGGCAGTCCTCTCTCTGCAAATAGCCCTATCAAGTCCAGGTTCTAGCAACTGCTTTTGCCCTGTAGCCCCAGGTCCCAGGGCTCTGGGATGGTAATGGCTCCTGGCTGTACTATCTTTTTGAAATAGTGCTTTTATTAAACACTTTTCAAATTAGTGTTCTGTTTCTTGCTGGCTCTCTCTTTTTTACTGAGGTGAAATTCACATAATATAAAGTTAACCCTCTTGAAGTGTATAGTTCGGTGGCATTAGTACATTCACAAATATTGTGCAACCATATCACCGCTGTCTAGTTCCAAAATTTTTCCATCATCCCAAGAGGAGTTCCTGCACTCATTCTCCTTGGATATGGGCTTTACTCCTCACTGCCCCTGTCCCCCTGTCACCAGTCATCCCTGATGTGCTCTGTCTCTATGGATTTACATCTTCTGGTCATTTCACAGAAATGCAGTTATACAATGCATGACCTTTTGTGTCTGGCTTCCTTCACTCAGCATGATGCTTTTGAGGCTCACCCATGGGGTAGCATGTGTCAGGGCCTCGTTCTTTTTTATGACTGAGTAATATTCCACCATATGGATGGACCACATTTGTTTATTTCTCCGTTGATGGATACTTGGGTTGTTTCCACCTTTTGGTGACTGTGAATCGTGTTGCTCTGAATCTGTGTGGACATATGCACATACAGGGACACTGAGTCTCTGTTTTCACTTCTTTTGGTTATATACTTAGAAGCGGAATCACTGGCTCATATGGTAATTCTATGTTTAGCTTTTTGAGGAACTGCTAAACTGTTTTTCATCGTGGCTGCACCATTTTACGTCTTCACCAACAGTGTTGGAGGAAACTGCTCTTCTTTTTGTCTCTGCCCCCCAAAAGTCTGCTGTGAGCTTCTGGAGGCCCAGGAAAAACTCTTCCCCTCACTCCTGCCATGCTCCTCCTTTGTCCACTTGCACACGTTTTTCTGGGACCATCTCCCTAACCTGGCCACCGCTTCTATGTCTCACCCTCCCACTTCGATTACAGCTTGTTGGTTGCTACCAGGCTGAGGACTCTGGTGCCTGGGAACCACGGAGCCCTTGCCCTTCCCAGGCCCTGGGCCCCTTGCCCTCTGGGCACAGGCCATTCTTCCTCAACCTCCCAGATGTGGCTCATCTCTCCCTCCAGCTTCATGCCTCTGCCTGCCCTCTCTCTAAACGCAGCTGTGATCCATGCTTCTGTCAACGCATTCTCTGTTCACCTCCTCCCAGGTGACCTCACTGACCTACTCGCTGGGCATCCATGTCCTCCCAGGACAGGTGACTCAGAGATGCACTTCTCCTGATGGGCCCAGCTGCCTCCCCAGTGCCTCTCCTTGGCAGACAGGGTGTCTCGGCTTCAGCACAACTGATACCTGGGGCGGGATCATTCTCTGTGGTGGGGGCTGGGCTGTGCATTGTAGGATGTTCAGCTGCACCCCTGGCCTCTGCTGACTAGATGCCAGTTGGTCCTCCCCCTCTACAATGTGACGGCCAGAAGTATCTCCGGGCATTGCCAAATGTCCCCTAGGGGGATAATCTGCCCCAGTTGAGAACTGTTGGGATCGCCCAAATCCAACCACACGCTCCAAGTGTTTGATGTCCGTCCAGCCCATGGTCTGTACCAAGCCTGGGGCCGAGCACCCCGCAAACCCCACTTCATCTTGCGATCATCGCCTCCGTTTTATCTGTACAAATATGGGGGCTTACAGTAGCCACATGACCTGCCCAAGCTAACAGCCAGGAAGCCTACTGGGCCCTTCAACTTGCTCCTCCTTCCTTGTCCCTATCTCTCTGAGGGCAGAGACACTGAGCTGTTACCCACTCCTCTTTTCTTCTCCTCCTCTGCCACCCGAAACCCCACATCCAGCCAGGCACCAAAGCAGATGTCCTTCACATCCCTAAAAAGTCCACATCCCTGGGGTGCCTGGGTGGCTCAGTCCATTGAACATCCAACTCTTGATTTTGGCTCACCTCAGGGTCCGGGGATCCAGCCCCGTGTCGAACTCTGCAGCCAGCAGGGAGTCTACTTCTCTTCTTCCTCTGCCCCTCCCTACTACTCATGCACTCTCTCACTCTCTCTGAAATAAATAAATTAATCTTTAAAAAAACCCCACATCCCTGACAAAATCAATAAGCTCCACTGTGCTTTAAAACAGCCATTAAAGGGGGCTCCTCTCCTGCTCACGCACCATCCAGGGCTCCCCATTGCCTGCCAGATCAACTCTCAGCCACTTGGGCTGATTTTCAAGGCCTTTCTCTCCTGCACCCCTCCTCGTCTCTCACACCCCAGGGCTAGAGAGAGCCACCTGCCCAGACACACCCTCGGGTTTCTCTGAGCCCAAGCCCCACCCCCTCTCCTGCATCTGTTGAAATCCAACCTCTCCCTCCAGTCCCAGCTCAGATGTCACATCCTTCACGTAGCCTTCCCTTCTGCCTCCTCCAAACAGCACAGCTTTAATTATTTGTATTGCCTCTTCTTCCCTTAGAAATGCTACCTCCTCTCACCTTCAAAGAGGGCCCAGCACCCAGTGAGGGAATATGCCTGAGATGGAAAAGGGATAAAGACATCAGCCAACTTTGTCACCTGCCAGGACAAGTGGGCGTCTTACGCTGGCTTTTAAAATTCCCTCAAAGTTTCGAGCCCCGCTGTGTCTTGTCTTCTGGAATTTGGAAGAGATTGGTGCCTAAGAGTTCCCAAACTTGAATTTGGGACTCTGGCTTTGTCCTTCATCTTTGTCTTAATCCAGACAGATGGCTTCTGATACTGAAATTTTAGTCATTCCCAATCTTCTGCCACCGGTTTTGCTCTATCTACGTATTACCTTTTATTACTTAATAGTTTTCTTTTAGTGGTCTTCCTCTAAAGCCTTATTTTATTTTTTAAAAAGATTTTATTTATTTGTTTGAGTGAGCACAGGCACAAGGGGGTGGGAGGGGCAGAGGAAGAGGGAGAAGCAGACTCCCCCCTGAGCAGCACCCCCCCCCCCCCCCCCCCCGCTTAATTCCTGGCTCAATCCCAGGACTCCAGGATCATGACCTGAGCCAAAGGCAGACCCTTAATCAACTGAGCCACCCATACACCCCAAGCCTTATTTATTTTGTTTTATTTTTAAAAAGATATTTATTTGGCAGGGAGAGAGAGAGAGATAGAGGAGAAACACAAGCAGGGCATAGGGAGAGGGAGAAGCAGGCTTCCCCCTGAGCAGGGGGCCTGATGCGGGGCTCCATCCCAGGATGCTGGGATCATGACCTGAGCTGAAGGTAGACGCTTAACAACTGAGCCATCCAGGCACCCCAAACCTGATTTATTTTAAAGTAAAATTTATATAACTATTATTATATCCACAAGGCTATAGATTTGATATCTAGGGTGAGTCTATTTTTTTCTTCTATGAATCAAAGCAAATCTCTCATTTCACATAAATACATAAAATAGAAAATGGATCGAAAGTGTTCCTCCATGTGCCATCTAAAATTACCAGGCCAACATAATTTACATTAGACTTCAGACACTTGTATCGGTCTTTGGGGACCAGCCAGAGTATTTTCTGTGTGGTTCAGACTTGTGAAAATACATTTCTTCATTCATTCATCCCATCCTTTCTTCCCCCAGCTTCATTAAGGTGTAACTGACAAAAATTTAAGGTGTACCATGTGACTCAACATTTATTCTTGTGTTTCAGGTTTCAGCTGGCCACCTGACACCCAACTCAGATAGCAGCTTCCCCTCTGCCTCGTTGCAAAACCCTGTTACATCCCTTCACTGGGGAAGGGAAACTTCCTGCTGGATATGTTTCTTTCTCTTTTCCCTGCTTAAGCCTCCAATCCACAAGGGCAAGGACTGGGTCTGTTTTTATTCTCTGTCATGTTCCCAGCACCTAGAACCATGCTTGGGTCTTTCCACAGCAGGTCCTTCCAACTGCAGGGATTTATTCTAAACCAAGTGTTGCCTAGCCCTGATGAGTTGAGCCTGGGGTCTCACCGTCAAGGAGACCCTGGTCTCAGGGGGAGACAGAGTCAGCTAAAGCAGGACTTGCCTGATTGAAACTTGCGCATGGACGGGGCTGCGAAGCCATTGCTTTCTCTGAACAAGGGCATGCAGAGCATGGAGCTAGCCATCAGGATTTGCTGGTGATGCAGAAGGCTGGAAACTCTATGGTGGTTAATAATAGTCCACACATACCTAGCACTTACTGTGTGCTCAAATACAAAAATGCTCCCTATACCTCGAAGCGGGGTTTCTCAGCCTCACTGTTGTGGACATTGGGGCTGGGTCATTCTCTTTTGTGAGGGGCACATTCTCAGTGTGTGCATTGTAGGACTTTTCGCAGCATCCCTGGCTTTACCCACTAGATGCCAGCAGTACCCCAGCATCCAGGTGTGGTGGCCAAAGTGTCTCTAGACATTGTCAAACTGTCTCCTGGGGGACAGAATTGCCATGGGTGGCAACTGTTCCCCTAAAACATTACAGCCATCCTCTGAGATGGACACACAGAGAGTAGCTGAGGGAGTCATTTGAACCCTCTGTCTCCGGAGTGCATGTCTAACCACTAGCTGCGTTGTTTTGTGTGTGGTCCTGGCCCCTGGCTCTGTCCTTTGAGACACTAACACTGCTCAGGGTCTGCTCCGCCACTTGGCCCCATCCCCCAGGCTAACCAGCCCCAAGATTAGACTTCCCTGAAATGAAGGACGGCTCATCTGTAGTCTATAATCAGTAATTTATTTCTGACCAGTCAAAAGGCTTTGGAATGATCATCCTGGGGAAAAAAAAATCTGAATTTCCCTGTCCTTCCTTCAGCTTCTTTATGGTTTGCTGTGGTTTTGGCTTTGGAACTCACTGGGAGGAGGGTGATGTTTCTCAGGGGTTCAGGCTTCTCAGTGTCTGACCTGATCCTTGACTGACCCCAGCCAGTCATGCCTCTCCTCTAGCCCACAACATTTGCCTTAGTTTCTCCAGATGAGATGGCAGTTATGGCTGGAGTCTTTGATCTCTTCAGTCTCCCGTGGGTTTTTTTTTTTTTTTTTTTTTTCCCTTTGACAGCTATTTCCTGGGTATCAAGTATGTGCAAGATCTTTTGGCCCTGGGGAGGCAGTGGAGAGCCAAAGGCCAGCTGTGAATCCTTCCATCTGTCGGCCCATTTGCCCAGATCAGCCACCCATCCAACCATCCACCCACCGAACCAGAAATGGTATCTCTGTTTCACATCCAGGGGTGGGGCTGACCCTGTCTGGACCCATCTGGAGCAGATAAACTGGCCAAGGACAACATCCTAGAGGGATGGTCAAGTTGGCTGACAGTGGGTGGGTGGGGTGGGAGGAGCAGGACCAGTGTCTGGTGCTCCTTGGTGAGGCTGGAGGTCATCCTGGAGGAAGCAGCCCCAGGAGGGTGGATTGGATCCAGAGGGAACATAAGGGCTGGCTCCCAAAGGCCAATGGAGTCTGAGGATTCCTGGGAGCCTGGTGGGGCCTCGGGGTTGCTGACTTAGGGACCCCTTTCCAAGCTTGGGAGCAGATCCTGAGGTGGGAGCTTTGCGGGGTACTGGTGTAGAAGCGGGGTGTTAAGGAGCGGGCCACAGGGGGATCTGGGCAATAACTAGAGCCAGGCACCAGCAGAGGGGCAGGGAATATGATGGTGTCGGGCTGCTGGGTGTCCAAGTCTTTGCATCTCCACACGTCTCTTCCGCTGTCTCTGCCTGTGTCTTTCCATCTCTCCACCTGTCAGTCTCACCATCTCTGGCTCTGTTCCTTTCCCTCTCTGACGTTCTCCATGCCTCCACGTCTCTGTGTCTGGTTCTCTCCATCTCTGGGGGCCCAGCCTTGGTCCCCGCCCAGAGGCTGGCCAGGCCGGGGGCGGGCCGGGGGCGGGCCTCGAGACTCGACCGGGCGGGGTTAAAGGGCCAGACTGCGGGACGGCGCGGTCAGAGCCGAGGTTGCGGTGCGGGCGGATCGGGACCGAGGGCGGGAGGCCGAGACCTGCGAGGTGAGTGAGCGCGAGGGGCGGTAACCGGAGCGCGGCCGCAGCGCTGCGCGGTAACCCGAGGCGCCTGGCGCGGGTGCCCGCAGTGTGCCAGAGAAAGTCTGTCTGTGCCCGGCCGCGGCCAGGAAGCCCCGGAACCCCAGCGGCGGCTGCGGGTTCCGGACGCCAGTCTAGGGGGGATGTGGGCGTGTCTCCGACGGTCGCAGCGTGTGAGCGCATTTTTTTCAGTGCTCGCCTCGGAGTCCTGGGAGTATCCTCTCTGGGTATCCGTGGAAAGGGACCTCAAGAAGAAACCCCTCCCCATCAGGACTGCTGAGGCCGTCTCCTAGGGTTGATTGGAGTCACCGGACATCGTCTCACTCATGGACTTTACGCTTGTGTTCTGGCTGCCTTCATGGCCCCTCTACCCACCCATGGTAGGCACAGAGCCTTCAAATCCCCCTTTATGAGAAGAGGAGATGCCCTCCTGGGCCCCCAGAGTTGGCAGTGAGGGTTGTGTTAAGCCCCGTACTGGCTGATGTTTTTGCTGGATGCTGGAGAGATCTATGGTCCTTGGTGTCCCAGGGCTTCACCCTCCCTGCTTGGACCAGGGGTTGGCTAGCCAGCCCAGACCATGCCTGGTGGCTGAGGCCCGCCAGCTGGGGAGTCTCAGGCTGGAGGTGGGAAGGAGACAGGGAGACAGTGGGGGAGCTGGGATTTGAACAAACCCGTCCTGTCTGACCCCAAAGTCCTGGGCACTTTCCAATGGCCCCAGTCTGTCTGTACAGCCCAGCTTGGGTTTCTGAAAGGTAACATTAGCTCTGGGCTGGTGTCCAGTGGTGACCTGGGTTGGTATCCACAGAGGGGCTCGGATGATTCCGCAGACAGAGAATGGGACCCCATTTCTCCTCCCTGGCAAGTGTTGGGCTCCATTCTCCAAATCCCAGATGGCTGGGCAACAGTAGTGAACATGGTGGCAGCCTCAACAGCAGTAAGAGGCACATTTGATCAAGGGCTTGCTGTGTGCCAAGTGCTGAGCTGAGTACTCTAAAAACATGGCATTATCATCAAAGCCCCGTGAAGTGGGTAATATAGTTCCTGTCTTACATATGAGGAAATTGAGGCTCAGAGAGATGCAGACCTTCCCCTGAGGTCACACAGCTAAGAGGCAGAGCCTATGGAATCCTTTCTGAGGCTCATGTCCAAGTGTGGTCACACTTGGTTGGGATGGTGGGCTGAGACAATTGCAGTTCTGGAATGATCTAGATTACTGGTAGTTTTTTTTAAAACTTCGTTTTCTGTTAGGATCTCCTTTGGGCCAAGGAAGCTGCAGGCAAAAGCCTACATATGCCCAAAGCTGTAGTAAAACTCTCCTTCCCACTTCCATTGGCCAACTTGGCTCTGCCCTTAGTTCTTGAAGTTCTTTCTCAGAACTGCCCCTTGAAGTTCTTTCTCAGAACGCCAGAAATTTGGAGTAAGCCTCCTCTCAGCTCAGACTTCTAGGCAGTTTGGGAGTCTCTGGTGTCAGGCAGCCCTTTGGCATAGAAAGGGGGTGCTGTGAGCAGGGATGGGGGTAGGTCGTCTCAACTACAGGTTTCCGGAGTGAGTGCAGGGCAGGGCGAGGGTATGGGGCAGTGGAGTCAGTGTTGGGGGTCTTGGCTGCCAGGCTGCCAGTGGGCTCCAGGACCTGTGGTTCAAGGAGAGGCAGATATGTGGTTTCTGGCGGGAGGGGGGTGTGCAGTTGTGTCCTGCATTCCTTCTCAGGAGCCCACACACCTTGTATGACAAGTCCCCGACAGGAGGCCGGGCTAACCTGACAAACCAGCGCTCCATGGGCGTGGGCCACTGAGCCAGTCCCTGGCACCTCAGTTTTCAGATAATGCCGGCCCCAGGAGGACAGGTGGGGCCACTTCTGCCAGGGTGGGGCCACTGGATGTCCTTGCCTGGTGTCTGATGCACCAGAGGAGCGGGTTTGCCAGCCTCTTGGAGCATCCTGAGAGTGTCAGCTTTGAATTTCTCTGCCTCCAATAAAAGAGTGATAATGGAAATAGGAATGATGGCTAAAATTTGCATCCCTCCTGCCAAACCTCATCTCGCTGAAGTGTCCCAAACAACTTTAAGAAGTATCGGACCTGCTGTTATTAACACATTTCACAGACTGGCAAACAGAGGCTGTGGGGAGGGGACCAGACTCTACTCAAGGCTGCTTACTTGGGGAGGGGCAGGGCTGTGATTTGAATCCAGGCTTGTCTGAATCAAAAATGCACATTTTAAGAGAGATGCAGTCCCAAAACAACATTTTATTTTTAATTTTTTAAGTTGAAGTGTAAGGAGTTTTTGCAAGTTGAACCCATACATGTCAAAGAATACACATCAAGAAAGAAACAGCTCTCTGAGCCCCAGAACACTCTCTCCCCAACTGAAGCATCTTTATTCATTTTTCATTAATTTCAACTAATTAACTTTTTTTAAAAAAAGTTTTGAAAAAACAATTTTTAAAGCTTTCATTTATTTATTGGACACACCCACCGAGATAGTGAGAGACAGAGCACAAGCAGGGAAAGTGGCAGGCAGGCAGAGGGGAGGGGGAAGCAGGCTCCCTGCTGAGCAAGGAGCCTGATGTGGGGCTAGATCCCAGGTCCCTGGGATCATGACCTGAGCTGAAGGCAGGCTCTTAACTGACTGGCCCACCCAGGCGCCCCATTGAAAAATCTTTTTAAGTAATCTCTACACCCAATGTGAGGCTCAAAATCACAACTCTGAGATCAAGGGTCACACACTCTACTGACTGAGCTAGTCAGGTGCCCCTCAACTAATTAACTTTTAAATAGGCTTTATATTTTAGAGCAGTTTTAGGTTTACAGAAAAATTGTGCAGAAAATAGAGTCCCAAAACACCCCTCAACTTCCCACAATTTCCCCTACTGTTAACATCTTCCATTATGATATGTTTCTTTTTAAAAAATATTTTCTTGTTTGTTTATTTACTTTTTACAGAATTTTTAAAAATATATTATTTATGGGGCACCTGGGTGGCTCAGTGAGTTAAAGCCTCTGCCTTCGGCTCAGGTCATGATCCCAGGGTCCTGGGATCGAGCCCCACATTGGGCTCTCTGCTCAGCGGGGAGCCTGCTTCCTCCTCTCTCTCTGCCTGCCTCTCCACCTACTTGTGATCTCTGTCTGTCAAATAAATAAATAAAATCTTTAAAAAATATATATTATTTATTTATTTGAGAGAGAGAGCACGAGAGAGAGAGAGAGAGAGCGCACGAGCGAGCACACAAGCAGGGGGAGGGGGCAGAGGGAGAAGCAGACTCCCCACTGAGCAGGGAGCCCAACGTGGGACCTGATCCTAGGACCTTGGGATCATGACCAGAGCTGAAGGCAGATGCCCAACCGACTGAGCCACCCAGGCACCCTGCTTATTTGTTTATTTTAGAGAGAGTAGTAGCGGGGGATAGGGAGAGGGAGAGGGAGAGAGAGAACCTCAAGCAGACTCTGCTGAGCGCTGAGCGCAGAACGCAGAGCCAGACATGGGGCTCAATCCTATAACTCCAAGATTGTGACCTGAACCAAAATCGAGAGTTGGATGCTTAACGAACTGAGTAACTCAGGTACCCCTAGGGTGATATGTTTCTTACAACTGATGAACCAATATAAATACAGTATGATTAACTAAAGTCCATCGTTTACATTAGAACTCATTCTTTGGGTTGTACAGTCAACTGATTCATCTTTATATTTATTTATTTTTTTATCTTTATATTTAATTAAAACATTTTTGAATGAGCATTATGTGCTCATATTATAGAAAGTCAAAAAGTCCCAAAGACGGACAGAGAAAGTTAAGTTTCCCTTCTCCTCCTACCTCCAGTTTTTCCAAGCCCCTTCCAGAGGTAACCATCATGATAAATTTCTCATGGGTCCCCAAAGCCTTTTTTTTTTTCATTTTTAAATATTGAAGCAAAGTTTATCTCATATAAAATAACTATTTAAAAATGAAAAATTCAGGGGCGTTTAGCACATTCACAGTGTTGTACAACCATCACTTCTATCTAGCTCCAAAATATTTTCATCTCGCCAAAAGGAGAGATCCCATCCCTGTTAGCAGTCACTTGCTTCTCCCCCAGCCCCAGGCAACCACCAGTCTGTTTGCTGTCTTTCTGGATTTGCCTGAACATTTTTAAATGGGGTCAGACATGCTAAGCCTTTTATATGTGGCTTCTTTCACTCAGTGTAATGTTTTTGAGGTTCATTTTTGTTGTATCTATAGCAGGACTTCATTCCTTTTCATGGCTGAATAATATTCCATTGCATGAATATGCCACATGATATGCATCCATTCATTTGTTGAAGAACCTCTGGATTGTTTCTACCTTTTGGCTATTCTGAATAGTGTGGCTATGCATATTTATATACAACTATCAGAGTACATTTTCCATTCTTTTGACTATATACCTAGGAGAGGAACTTCCAGTTCTTTTTTTTTTTAAGGTTTTATTTATTTGAGAGAGAGAGCAGAAGCTGGAGAAGCGGCAGAGGGAGAGGGAGAAGCAGACTCCACACTGAGCAGGGACCCCCCCCCCCCATGTGGGGCTTGATCCCAGGGCCCTGACCCTATGACCTGAGCCAAAGGCAGATGTTTAACCAACTGAGCCACCCAGGCACCCCTTGGAACTGCCAATTCTATGTTTAACTTTTTGAGGAACAGCCAACCTATTTCTCAAAGTGGCTGTACCACCTCAAAACTTTTGGTAGCACTTTTTTGGTGGGGGGGCTTGGCAGGTGTGCTCTTGTTTGGAGGGGGGCAAGAGGAACCCAGCTACAGAAAGCAGAGGACTCAACTTCCCCAATTTATTGAGCTTTTCCCATGAGCATCAGATGGACTTCTTGCTGTTGTTACCATTTTGCAGATGAGAAGATGGAGGCTGTCAGGATGACAACCAGTTGACGATCTATAGTATGTGTCTTTCTGCTTGGAGCAGAGTCTGTCCTGGGAAGAGTTGTAGCCCACGTCTGGCAGAGGGGGGTGGGCCCGGTACTTCAGAACTCCCCTCCCTGGCCCACCCACCTGGAGCAGGCTCCTTTCTTTGGGAGCTGGTCTTTTCTCTTGTTGCAGCTCACTCCCATTTCAATTTTTCGGGAAGACATTTCCTTTGTCAGGATATCAGCTGGGATTTTTCTGGGTGGGGGTAGAGTTTCTTGCTGTGACTCCATTCAGAAGACCCCCCCACTGCCTTTGGCGGCTACTAGGAGGATAAAAGAAATGACCCAGAGAGCCACTGCACACAGATGATGCTCGATAAGGGAGGTGGCTGATTGTGGTAAAAATTGGACTGTCCGAGCAGAGGTAGGCCTGGAGGATGAGGAGAAGCCCTTATACACAGAGCTGGGGGGAAAGGCATGTGCAAAGGCTCTGAAAGGGGAATGAACTTGGC